GAAGACGTCATGGTTTTTGAAGAAATGCGTGGTACATCCAGAATCCGCAAATGAGCACGACGAGATGGAGGGTAAGATTTTGCTAGCAGCTAAAGCAACCTTCTGAAGAACTGACTCGTTCTCCTCCAATAGTTTATTGACCTCGTCACTGAGGGTAGCCGATAACGCGAAATGTCCGCCGGCGTTTACTGCACCATCGATGGTCAAAGCGAAATTTGCTATAGGTGAAGCGGTCCGTTTTCCTTTCCACCACGCTGGGTATTGACCCTGCTTTCCGCCACCCATTTGGAAACAGTCATTGATCAAGTGGCCAGTCTTTCCACATGTAGGGTTGGCGCATACGAGGTGGGATTTATTTGGGTTAGACGAACCCCCAGGTCTCGCTCGGAGGCCATGAACTTCAGCCTGGAGAGCGTGGACAGTCGCCTCTAGCGCTTTAACAGAGTCGAAGGCGGGGGTAGCGGTTGTTTTGGTTGTCTCAGATGCTCGGTTAGCGAGACGTTCCCCATGGGAGGTGAGTTTCAAGATAATTTCGCTCAGATCCTCCTTATCGTATAGATTCGATATAATGGGGTCCCAGGACTCGGGGAAAGAGTCGAGGAGTTTTGTGATGAAGCGTACATTGGTGATTTCAGCACCGGCATCATTAGCGGATTTTCGCAGTGCGCGCATTTTCTCGATATGGCCGTTTTCTCCTGCAACTTTCATTCCCTCTTCGAATTTGCAGTTTGCTAATGCCCTTTCCCTCATATTCCTAGCCCTATCGCTTGCGCCACCATACTGCTTGGCTAGCAGGGTCCAAGCCTCATGCGCTTTCCCATTTGGGTTAACTCCTGATCCAGCAATATCTATCAGATTGATCAAGATCGACGACATCGCGGAGCTCTCGTGGAGTTCGTACGCGGAGTTCGTACTCGAGCGCTAACAGAGTTGTGGAGAGTGCAGGGGTAGGACCTGATGGTTTATCGGCGACAGGCGCGGGTGATGATGTTTTCGGTTCAGTGGATGGGTTTTCTTCGTCTATTACCTCCTGGGGGACGACGATTTTGTTCTCCCAGTATTTAAGGTATCCTTGGGGTTTCCCATGAGCAATCATAAGTGTTTTCCAGCTCGCGAAGTTCTCATATCCACGGCAGCGTTGATCCTCGGGCAAGGAGAAAGGGATCGATGTATTGTGACTTCCAGACATGGTAATAAGTCTTGTATTGGGTCGATAGGGGATATGTGTGTAACCAGTATTCTTCTGAAGATTTAGGAGCGAGCGGGGCCCATAACCTGTTGGGATAAGACCGTAAGTAAGAGCTAAGGTAGAGATAAGTAAGTAATGTATCAGAAGAAATATAAGTAAAGGAATACACACCTCAGGCGGTTACACGTATGGGTAAACGACTGAGGTGCGAAGTACAGAAAGGAGCGAGAAAATTGTATATACGGAAGTAAAAGACGGTGTCAGTAAATAGGAGTAAAGAGAGAACGTAGCGTAGGTTTCTGAACCTCAACAAATACCATATCTTTTTTCTCTTTCAACGGTTTTTTGAGTTTTTTCTGACAGCCTACCACACCACACCATCCTTTCTTTCCCTTTTCCTCTTCCTCTTTGTTACTACTCTTTGTGGTAGCCAGTTGGTTCGGTGTTGGTTCAACCCTACGCTACCTTCTTATGTCCACCTTCCACTTCCTTCTTCCAAGTATGCAATTGGCTGCCCTCTGTCTCTATATGCTTACTCCCCTCCCCTCCCACCTCCAGACCTGAGACTCGCTTGCGCTCACTTGCGGTTTTTTAATATCTCTTTCTCTCTGTTTTGTTTTATACCTCAATATAAACTCAACACAATGCAATGTACTTGGACATTGTTGAACCTGACAGCACACCTAGAACATCCCACACAAAGTACGCCTATAGTTTTGTGCGAGTTTAAGAACAAGAGGTTACACGCACAGACAGAGGTAAGTGTGAGTCTGAGTCGGAAGATGAAATTAGTCAGGAACTTCGAAGGGTTGGACCCTTGGAACTTAGGAGCCCCAAGAACCCGAGTCAGGGTCCGGTACAGAAGCGTCAAGATTAAGGGTCTGTCCAGCAGCAAGAATCCATTTTCATTTTCATTTTCATCTTCATTTGATGGCTGACAAATTGGGTTACACACCATATTGGGCAACAACAATAACTGGGCTCCTTGCACAACCCACATTCCGTTGTTATATTTTCTATGTACAACACAGTAGGTTTCTACTGTCAGCTATAGTATGTATTTCGTTTCAATTTGTATTTTGAAAAAATCATGTATATTTACTTTATTCATGTAAATTACATACAACCAATCTTTATTTAAACTACCTACTTGTTGGTTTTGCACCCATAGGCTGCTGTGATGCTTATAAAAAAGCCTATGGCATAACTTGATGGGTAAGGAACAGGAAACTTTGTTATTTCTTCTTAAATCATTTCTGTAAGAATTAATTTTGACAGCAACAG